AGAAATGGTAATTTGGTATGCTTAAATGTAATAAACACAAACCTTAAACATTGAGAGTAATAAAGTTTGATATATGGTATAGATAGGTAAAAATCTCTTTTTTTTTAGTAGTAGAAATGTATTTTTTGCTCAAAAAGGCATTAAAAAGTTTCGGACTCGTAAGGCAAGTGTCTTAGGCCCCAATTTTGTGAGGTCCCATTTTTTAGGAATACTATATATTTTATAGGTTTTTTAAAAAAAAAAAATAAATAATATATAGTGCTTTTTAACTTTTCATATATAAAAAAAGAAAAACTTTTAATATATTAATAAAGTAAAGCTTAAAATAGTACTAAAAAATAGTTGTTACTTGGATTTGATTTGACAACTCTACTTTTGCTCTTCTTCCCAAATAATTCCGAGATCCAATCCAACATTTCAATTTCATTTCATTTTGGTCAAATATATAGACAACCCATTAAACTTGGCGCAATTTTTCATTTTGGCACTTTAACTTAGTCTTGTTCCATTTTGGCCCCCAAACTCTATTTTTTGTGTTCCACTTTAATACAAAAGCTGACTCCAGTAAAAATAAAGCAGCGTGTGTATTCACACAAAACTGATGTGTAATTATATCTAATCAAATATTGCCATTTCAGCCATGTCAAACCAAATCCCTAAACCCTATATCCGAACCCGACCCATCAAATCCAGTAAAAATAAGCTTTCACCATAACGGTCCCGTAAAAATACACCCCTTACTGTGACCCTACTCCGTAAAAATCCCTAATTCAACATGAGGTAACCTTCGATTTTTTATGGTTTCTTCATGATCTGAAGACGTGATTGCTGGCCTTAGAAGTAGCGAATGTTGTGGTTCTTGTACTGGTAAGTGTCGATTTTTAATGCATTGTTATTTTTTGGCCCTATTTTTTTGGTCTATGTATATTGGGAAACTGATACGAAAGCTAGGTTTTGTATTTTTGAAAACAGTATGTGTATAATATTATTGGTAATCGTCTCTTTCTTCTTTTTCATGTCAAATTAAAGTAAAAAAAATGGTAGAGGATTATATTATTGTCCGTTTCCACCATGGTGGAACTTTTATCAAAACGCCTGACTCAAAATTCATTGGTGAGAGAGAAATAAAGGTAACTCCTATTGACAAGGACCACTTTTCTGTTGTCGAGTTGATTAATTATTCAAAGGACATGGGGTACGAAACTGTTGGGGGATTCTATGTATTTAACTCTAATTCCAATGGTTTTGTTCTGTTGGAAAATGACAACCAGATTTTGAATATTGTATCTCAGCTTAAACATGGTGCTTTTCTTGATTTGTTTATTAGTCATGTCGGTTTGCTAGAATAAGGGGTCCCATTTGGCTTAGACAATTCAATAAATAATGAGTCTAGGGCAACATTAGATGGCTTAGACAATATAAATGCTCAACAAACTATTGTAGAAACCTAACCTCTCATTGAACAGGTAGAAAACAACACATATTTGACTAGAAAGGAAGAAAGCTCTAATCTAGGAGATGGCAATACTATTTTTCCTTCAGATATAGAGAGTAGTGAATCTGAATTAGATGTTATACCTGAGGAAGATGATAGTGAGTTAAATGATGAGTGTAGAGCCTTAAGGCAAGAAAGAAGAAGAAAAAACAATCAAAACCCAAAGAAAAAGAGGAAGAATCCTACTCCCACACCAGAGGCTGAATTAGGAGAGGCTGGAGTAGACAAAAGGTTTGATAACATTGAGAGGCCAAATAAAAGAGACAAGTATGCTGGAAGATTAGGGGGGATGAGGACTACTACAACAACAGTTCAGATATTGGAAGTGATGATAGTAGAGATGAGTTGGATGTTCTAGCTGAAAGGGGTGTTGACTTACTAGCTAGAAGGAAAAGTAAAAAATTAAGGGTTGACCCATTTTGTAAAATAACTATATTTGAGCTTGGTACGGTTTTTGAGAATGCTATGCAATTTACGAAAGCAGTGCAATCTTATGCTATAGCGTACAAAGTTCAGCTAAAACTTAATCCCAATGAGAAGCACAGGATTAGAGTAAAGTGTAAAAGCAAAGGGCTATGTACATGGGAGCTATATGCAAGCACTGACAGAGATTCTGGGGACTTTATTGTGAAGAAATACCAATCAATTCACAAGTGCACTACCAAAAACAAAAACAAGTTGTGCACTTCCAAGTATATTGCACATAAATACAAAGACATGATCATATCCCAACCAAATATAAAACTTTGGGAAATCAAGGAGTGGGTTAGGGATCAAGAGGGGTTATATGTGGGAAGGACTATCTATTATAGAGCTAAGTGTATGGTACTCAAGCAGTTCATGAGGGACTGGAAGTTGGAATTCTCTAGGTTGTGTGACTATGTTGATATCATTAAAAGCACAAATCCTGGAAGTTCGTGTTGGATCGGGATAGATAAAGATACTAAACCTGGAAAGAACTTGTTTGTGTATTTTTATGTGTGTTTTGATGCTCTTAAAAGAGGGTGGTTAAAAGGTTGTAAGAAAATTATTGGATTTGATGGATGCTTCTTGAAGGAGTTATGTAAAAGTGAGTTGCTAGTAGCTGTTGGTAAAAATGAAAATAATCAAATGTTTCCTATAGCTTGGGCTGTTGTTGACCAGGAGACAAAACACTCTTGGATTTGGTTCATTGAAAATTTGATTTCAGACTTGGACTTAGGAGATGGAGTCGGCTTAAAAGTTATGTCAGATATGCAAAAGGTATTCTCTTTTAAATAATCTGTTTCTATTTGTATAATGTAATGTTTCTGCATTTTATTGTTAAATTAAATTGTTATTTTGTTGTTTTGTAGGGTCTAGTTTCAATTATTAGTGAGCTATTACCTAATGCAGAGCACAGAATGTGTGCTCGACATATTTGGTCTAATTGGGCCAAAATCTGGAGAGGGGAAGAAAGAAGAATGCAATTTTGGAAATGTGCTAAGTCTTCATATGAAATAAAATTCAAGGAAGAAATTGCAAACATGGCAAAACTTGGTAAGAAGGAGATATGTGAAGACTTACTCGCATATAACAAAGAATGCTGGTGTAGGGCTTACTTTTCTACATGTTCTAAATGTGATATTGTTGAGAATAATATGTGTGAAACCTTCAATTCTTGGATAGTATGACCAAGACATAAGTCAATTATTACTATGTTAGAGGAAATTAGACATAAAATTATGAATAGGCATGTTGATATGAGGAGATTTGCTGAGACCTGGATAATAGACATTTCACCAATGGCAAGGTTAATATTAGAAGAAAACAAAGAGCTTTCTAGGAAGTGTAAAGTGTTGTGGAATGGAGATTCTGGATTGAAATAAGTGATAGTGACAAAAGGTTTATTGTTGACTTAGTAAGAAGGACATGCACATGTAGAACTTGGCAGTTGAGAGGCATTCCATGTGCTCATGCTGTTTGTGCCTTCTATGACTTAGACCAAGAACCAGAGAATGAAGTTGAGGATTGGTACAGACAGAATGTGTTTGTAAAGGCTTACCAATATGTCATAAAACTCATGCCTAATATGAAGATGTGGCTTGAAACAAACAACCCCTCTATTGAACCTCATGAACCAAAACCAATGTCAGGAAGACCTAAAAGATGCAGGAGAAAGTCAAAGGATGAGCCAAAAAGGAAATATGGAAAGTTGTCAAAGAATGGGGTGAAAATGACTTGCTCAAAGTATCATCAATTGCGCCACAACAGAACTTCTTGTAAATCAGTGGTAATTGTTACTTTATGCTGTTTTATTTTTATAGATTTTGATGTATAATTGACTATGTATTGTTGTTTTATAGCCTGTATCAACTTCCAATCAGCCAAGTCAACCAACTCAACAATCTCAACCAATCCCACCAGCTCCAAGTAGATCATTTCAAACTAGCAATCCACCTTCAATGTGTAATGACACATCCGCAGTGAAAAGAAGTAGCCAAAATCAGTCTACCGGTATAGGCAGGGGAGGGGGTAGAGGTCTGGGACTTAAAAGGCCAAGGCCAGCAGCAGGTTTTGGAGTATATACATACATTAGGAGTGGAAGAACATTTATCAATGTAAGCTTGAACTTGTACTACTTTGCTATGGCTTTTATCAATTTAAATAGTGACTGATTGATATCATTTTGCAGCCCGGTATACCTTCTGAGAGAGTGATAATACCTGGAACTTACAAAGATACATCTGCAACAAATATAGATCTTGAATTTAAACCTCATGGTCTCAAATGGAAGGGGGAAAATGCAGTAACAACTTCTCAACTGCAGCAGATGCGAGCAATAAGGAATATAGGGTCTTTTCAACAAAGTGGAAGCAACATGTCTTCCTTTTGATAAAAACTTGTTTGGCACCATGTGAGGTGTTATATTTTTTGCAGTTTTGTTTCAAGAATGTGATTTAAACACATTGTTATATTTTTGGCTTTGGGTGGCTTTGTTAAGTCTGCAAGTTGCAAAAACAATTGGCTTTTGGCAGCTTTGTGAAGTGTTATGTTTTTTGTGTTAAGTCTGCAAGTTGCAAAAATAGTTGGCTTTTGGCTTTTGGTTTTGCCAATGTTCATGGACTTAGAGTTATACGTTTTGGCAATATTCATGGCTTTTGGCTTTTGGTTTTGCCAATGTTATACGTTACTCTTCACAAAATATGACTTCCTTTTTATCTTTGGTTGGTTTATATTGGATATTTATGTATCTACCGAATAGCTAATTATTTGGATATTTGGTTGGTGCAAAAAACTGTATTGCCGAAATTCTGGAGATTTACCAATCTATTGAGTTACTTGAAATCAACAAACAAGAAAGTTTGCAATTGACCAAATTGATTTATCACCAACTAATATGAACTTTTGAAACTTGAAAGGGCTGATCGATTACATCAATTTGACTCAAATTACATCAATAAAACCCAGGAAAACCTAGCCAATTCCATAACATGAACACAACAAGAAACACAACTAACTTCTTCCACATAGCCAACTTTGCATCTCTTTCTTTTACTTTGTTTAGCAAACCATAAATAACCTTGTTCGCTTGAGCTGGAAACTCATCATCATGTCATCTAAAATAATTGCGGCCACGCTGTAAAACACAAGACAAAAGCAAATAAATCAATGTAAATAGAGACAAGAAGATGATAACACTAAAAATGAAATTCGAAAATGGTTCACTTACTTTGTCAAATTTACACCCATAAAAGCGACGACCTGGATTTCTTGGTGTCCATGATACTTTCAGTTAAACTTGAAATCCACAACAACAAATATCCATTCCATTGTGAGAAAATAATTTTCTTTGAGACATGAATTCACTTCAAACTTCAAACTTCAAACTTAGTTGAAATAAACTCACAACAAAGAAATCATATTAAATAAATGGGGCAAAGTATGAAATCGGCAGATTGGCCTTCAAACTTGGCTCTTTGAAACTTTGAGAGTGAAGGTGGGGCAAAGTAAATGGGGAAGAAAAATAATGAATATAAAATAATGGGGAAGGAAGATGGGGGATTAAATATGGGGCCAACATTTATGTTGTTACTGTTGGAGATGGAAATTTGGCTGAAAAAATATCCCTCACGCGCCTACAAGGTGTGGCAAATCACACACTCAATCTAGTCAGCTTTTGTGTTAAAGTGGAATACAAGAAATAAGGTTGAAGGGCCAAAATAGAACAAGACTAAGTTAGAGTGCCAAAATGAAAAATTGGGTCAAGTTTAATGAGATGTCTATGTATTTGGCCTTTCATTTTCATATTCCATATAGGAGAATGAGACATAGTGACATACCTTCTTCCTTCCTTTTTATTCATTCTCATCTTCTTTCTACTATATTTCTTTCTTTCTCCAAGACTCCAACAAGCCAACAACTAGATATTTTGGAATCATAGTCTTCAAACTTCTTAAATCAGTTAGTCGGATAATATCATTCTAACTTTCTAGTATTATTTTATTAATTTTACTATGTACATATCGTTTAAATTTTTTAGAATATAAACATGTCTACAAGAAAATATGCATCCGGATATTCAAAAATCCAAAAGAAAAGAAAAGTTAAAAATTTAATAAAATCTCAAAAAGGAGCTCTTGAGAATTTTTTGACAAATAATGAAAAAATTAAATCGCAAAATGTAGGAGAATATTATGTAAATAAACAAGTCACTAACTTTGAGTCAAATGATAACAAAATCCAAATTGAAGAAGAGGATTATGAGAAATCTGACGAAGATACAAACTTTGGCCTTAAACTCCATATTAAACTTTGGCTTTAGGCCCCATATGAGCTTGAGCCGCCCCTGCCACCATCTCTACCGTTGCCACCTCCATCTACTCTCCCATCATCACCACCACCTCCCTAAATTTTAGAATTGTTTTTGAGCCATTTCTTTTGCTGCCACCAGTACCACCTCCACAATGACAAAGAATCACCTCCTCTTCTCCCTATTTCTCCATCAATTCAATCCAAATAGGAAAATAAATTAAACAAAAATCTGATTATTTGAAGTGTTTGACTCTATTTTGGATGAATTTTTGAAGTTATCAAATAGGTCAAGTTCAACAGATATGATGATTTGGTTCTTAAAGGCAATATACCCCAACATAAATTGGACCTTTACCAGCCTTCTTGTCCACAAATTTCATGGCGTTAATCAACTCAAATCCTCCTTTGATGTTTTCTTTTTGTTATCCTTGAAGATTAAAGATTTGTGGCTATCAAGAAAATTAGTCGTTGAATTGTTACTCTTGGTGCATAATTTAGACTGGTACATAGAGTGGATTTGGGGATATTGAGTTTTGCCTTACTTCGTACCATTGTAAGACTAGTATGGTAGGGTTTTTGTCTAAGATAGCTAGTGGCAATGTTGTATCTTACTATTTTACTTTTCAGTGCATGACCTATTTACTAGCTATCGCTTTTGCTTTGCATCTTTCTTCTGGATTTCATGTTGTCCCTATTTTTCCTATGATTTCTGTGGTGACACTAATATTGTCTCCTTTTGTCTTTTTGTTTTCTTGAGTCGAGGGTCTTTCAGAAACAACCTCTCTACTCCTTCGGGGTAGGGGTAAGGTCTGCGTACACACTACCCTTCCCAGACCCCACTAATGGAATTTTACTGAGTTGTTGTTGTTGTTATTATTGTTGTTGACTTTATGTAATTTGGAAAGAATAGAATAGAAAGAGGAGGTTAAATAGAGAAGAAAACCTTGAAGGGTTGAAGAAGTAGCTTGTCACCATATGAGAATTTGTGAGCTTTCAAGGGTGAAAATGGTGGTGATAGGTGAAAGGTAGAGAGCTAAAAACGTGGAGAGAGAAGAAAAGGTGTGAGTTTTTTTTTGTTAAGAAAAATAAATTGATTTGATGATTTTTTAAACTGTAGATTTTTGTAAAAGAAATTATGATATGAATATTATTTATCTAGGTGGATCTGATGTGTCCTCCATATCACGGAGAGTGAACAACACACATGGGCGGAGGTGATTAAAATTTTAGTTTTAATCGAGTTGAAGTGTCTAAATGAAACTTTATGGATTACAAGGACCGGGATGTCAAATCGGAACAAGTATAGGTGTCTTCTATGCTATTCTTCCTAATTTAGATGACACATTTTTCTTATTAGTTCGCTAAAAAATGACACATTTCTATAATGAGAAATAATACAACTTTAAACTTTTTATTTTACCCATTTTACTCTTAATAAGAAGCTTTTATAACCATACAAATATCATGGTTCCACAAAGCTTTTACCACTTGAGCTTTTAAGACCATAAGTTTCAATAGTCGCCCTCTTTTCTCTTAAACTCCGTGCCGAGTCAAACTATCTCATCTAATTTGAAATAGAAGGAGTACCTAACACAATATGAAGACTGAAGAGTCAGCTATCAGCTGAAATGGTATGCTTTGTTCTTCAATCTGAAACTGATTAGTAATTCAATTAATTAAGTGGAATAAATGTAATCAATTAAATTTTCTCCCTTGCTCAAAGAAACATAAAAATTTACCCTATGATGTTTGAGGGCTTAAAACACATTTTCTAACTCCTAATACTCAGGTGAAAAAGAAAAAAAAAAGGGTTCTTTAGTATCTTTCTTATACTTCTTGATAACCACGCCACTTTGTAAACAATCTCTAGTATTTTGAAAAGATTAATCTTTTGACATAATGGATTACTTTATTTGCCGCTTACATGAAACATGAAAATAGATACACCATGTACAGATAAACGAGTTATTGTAAAATAAAAACCACTATCTTCTTATTCATCACTGCCTAATACACAGATAGTAACCAGTGAAATGTGCACACTCCAAACAATGTTCTTAAGTCTATTTCTATTGCTAGGAGAGACCAAACGGAGCAGCAATTAAACAAAGATCATCCTTTCTTCCGGCATTTACTCCATCTGTTTCAGTCATGTCGAAACTGTCTGCAGTTATTCCTGATGGAATCTTCCAATCGAAATGATAAAGCAATTAAGCTAAAGGATGTCCTATATTAACTAAACCGAATAATAATCCTAGAAACATTCTTCGTCCTGCACCAAACGAAATAAATTCAAAGTGATTTCCTTTGAAATCAATAGAATTATTCTCAAATCTCTCAGGTATAAAACTTTATTTATCATGTCAATATTTAGTATCTCTTCTATTGGCCCAAGCATTCACTAGGACTCTAGTTTTGATATGTATTATGTATTTGCCAATTTTTGTTTTCTCTCTGCATTCCCTTGGGAGTAATAGAGGAATAGGAGGGTGCAACCTTAATGTTTCTTTAATTACTAATTTTAGATACTTCAACTCTTCTAATCAGAATGCTCAAATGTTCTCTTTCCTTTTAGGAATTCTCTAACTTAGAGGTGTCAAACGGTCCAGGTTGATCCGATATCGGCCCGGCCCAGACCGGTTGAAACTCGGCCCGGCCCGGCCCGATACTTAGGGGGCAGGTGGGCTGGGTTACTGGGGTTAAGGGGTTGGTCTGTTCACTTTAATTCATCCGATTAATCGGACCGGTCAAATCCGATCAACCAAAATCCATGTAGAACTGGTTGACCGGTTTAAAGGTTAGATTTTTTTAAAGGTTTTAGAGTCTAAGGTAATGCAAAACCATTGAATTCTCTCTTTTTTCGTTAATTTTCTTGTTGTTAAATGTAAACCTTTCAATTTATAAGTTTGAATTTTGAAATAAATGTAGCACTTGCAATTTATAAGTGCATTTGTTTCCATCTTCATTGTATTCTTTATATTTTTAATTTATATTAATATACATTACAACAGTTATACAAAATACAAAAAAAATAAAAAAAATAAAAATATAATAACCAGGCCCAGCCCAGTCCCTTGGACCCGTAACCCTTACGGTTCATTTTTTACCCGGATGAATCCCAACCTGTTAAGCCCGGTAACCGCTAACCCATAACCGGCCCGGTTCGAAACCTGGACGGTTTCAATTTTTCCCTACCCAGCCCGGCCCGTCCCACCCATCAGACACCCTTACTCTAACTTCAAGTTGTGTTTTAGCCATAACACTTGGATTTCTTATCATTTCAGCCAACGCCCAAATAATTGTTGTAGATGAGGTTTCAGCTCCTGCTAAGAATATGTTCTGCATGTAAAGAAAACTATTAAGATATATACAATTTCTAACGTTTCAATATTGTACTCTATCATAAATATTAACTTCAATGTTTAAATATTATAAATAATAAAATGAAAAAAGAAAACAAAATGAAATTTCTCATATGGTATTACACTTACAAAAATAACTCCTTTGAGACTCCACCAAGCCCACTCAATAATCAATCCATACAGTTCATCATCTGGAATTGTCGAGGGGCCCAGTCACCGGAGTTCAAACGCAACTTTCGCTCCATGCTCAACTACCATAAACCAGCTTTGGTAGCACTACTTGAAACGCACATGCAAGATCATGAAGAACTTAAATCTAAGTTTAGTTTTACACACTTGGCTCAATAACCTGCTGAAGGCATCTCTCGGGGAATTGCTCTACTTTGGAAAGATGATCTAATCAAGCTGGATCAAGTAACAGCCACAAGTCAAGAAATTCATTCCATTGTCCAGGTACCCCCAAACCCTAAATCTTGGTTAATATTTGTCATTTATGCTAAAAATAACATTTATGTACGTTCTGTTTTATGGGATAACTTGCGAGCATTACAAGACTAAATTAAATTACCTTGGTTAATAGGAGACGATTTTAACGAAATAGTTAAATCTACTGAAAAATATAGTGGTTTATAGATTAATAATAGGAGGAGTGATAAATTTATTCATTGCCTTAACTATTGCAATCTAGTAGACCTTGGATATACTGGTAGTCGATATACATGGTCCAACAATAGACATCCATCACATCGTATACTAGAAAGACTAGATAGATGTTTAACAAATTATGAATGGCTAAACCTATTTCCTGAAGCTTCTGTTCAACGCCTACCAAGAACACACTCCGACCATCGCCTGTTGTTACTAAATCTTAATAAACACAAAAGGTCCTAACGAAAGAAAATTTCATTTTGAAATAATCTGGACTACTCACCCTCAATTTCCTTCCATAATTACCCACAATTGGACTCCGAATAAACCTATACTCACAACTATCAAAGACTTTACAGAATATATTTTGGATTGGAATCGAACCACCTTTGGTAACATTTTTAAAAATAAAAAAATGCTTCTAGCTAAAATCCAAGGAATTCAAAATTCTCCCAAATACACCACTAGTCAGTTTCTATACAACCTGAAAACTAACCTAATAACTCAATATAATGATATCTTAAAGATTGAAGAGGAGTTTTGGAAACTAAAATCTCGAATAAATTGGCTACAAGACGGAGATGCAAACACAATTTTTTTTTCACCTAACTACTTTACGACATAAACGCAGTCGTATTACTGCACTTAAAGACTCGGTGGATAATTGGATATTGGATCAAAAAGAAATCAATACCTCGATTGAGTACTATTACCACAACTTATTCACTACTAGTCACACCCACCACACTTATCCTACTTATAAAGCTCGTTCCAATACCATCAATATTCATGACTATTCCTAATTGGACTCCACCATTACACAACTAGAAATCACTAATGCCCTTAAGTCTTTCCAACCTTTTAAAGCACCTGGGTTTGATGGATTACATCCTTACTTCTATCAAAATTACTGGACTCAAGTGAGCTCCTCAGTCACATCTTTTTGTATAGAGGTCTTTAATACACAACAAATCCCTACAGAAATTAATAAAATTTACCTTTGTTTTATCCCTAAAACACAACAACCTACCTTCATCACTTAATATCGACCAATAAGTCGTTGTAACACACTCTACAAATTAATTCAAAATCATAGTCCACCGTATCAAACCAATTTTATTTAGCCTCATCAGCTTAGAACAATCATCCTTCCTGCCTAATCGTAAAGCAGCTAATAATGCAATTATCGTACAAGAGATTATGCATCATTTCAGGAGGAAAAAGGGTGCTCAGGCTTCCTTTCTACTCAAATTAGATTTCGAAAAAGCATTTGACAAAGTGGAATGGGGATTCACACATGACACCATCCACTACTTCAATTTCCCACCTAAGTTGATCAAATTAACTATGTCTTGCATAACCACCACGTCCATCTCAGTTTTAATTAATGGAGCACCTACCCCTTTCTTCTCACCATCAAGAGGCATCCGCCAAGGGGACTCCCTCTCACCCTATATTTTTATTCTTTATATGGAAATGCTTTCCCGTAAAATACATGCTAAAGTAGATTACCAAAAGTGGCACCCCATCAAATTATCTAGGCAAGGTCAGCAAATTTCTCACCTCCTATTTGCTGACGACATTACCTTAATCACTAAATTAACCATAACGAGTATCAACTCTATAATTGACACACTCAACCTGTTTACTAAGGTTTAGGGATTAACTATTAATTATACCAAATCCAAAATATTCTTCTCTAAGAACACTTCCATAGTGGATAGAGAAAGTGTGACTCGTTCCTTCCATATGAGCAAGGGGTCAAATTTTGGCAAATATCTTTGATATCCCATTTTCAACAAACGACCTACAACCTCTAATTTTTAATTCCTTCTAGATAACTACAAAAATAGATTAGCCGGGTGGAAAATAAATGTGTTAACAATGGCGGGACGAAACACCTTAATAAAAGCTATCCTAAACTGTTTACCAAATCATGTAATGCAGCTGATCAAATTACGTACTATTATTACTAATCAATTAGAACATTATCGAAGAAACTTTCTATGGGAAACCACAGAAACATAAGCTTCACCTTGTTAAATGGGAAACAATCCAATTACCAAAAACTTATGGTGGATTGGGAATTTACAATCTTTCAGATAAAAATAATGTCTTACTTAGTTTACTAGCTTGGAGATTGTTCCAATCCCCTTCCTCCCATTGGGCTTCAATCCTTATATCAAAATACTCTAGGAATAATAATCCAACTAACATCTCATCTAGTTAGAAAGCCATCAAACAAGGATGGGCTTCATGTCACAATGGAATAAATTGAAATATCACAAATGGAAGCCACATTAAATTTTGTACGAAACCTTGGTTAGGCCCTAACTTTGACATTACGAGAATTAATTGAAGGTCATCTACCCCGTAATAAACAATCATCCACATTAGCACTCTATATTGCCGGGAACTCAATAAACTTTCAAAAAATACCTTTTGAGCTCCCTAATAATTTAAATAACCTAATAAGTAATCACTACATTCCTACCCTCACAAATAAAACATTCTAGGATCATATTTACTGGGGGATCACCCCAAATGGAATCTTCACGGTAAAATCATAATATAATCAATTGCGTGCTAAAACAAAACAAAAATCTTTCCAATGGTTATGGAACCTTCAACTACCCCCCAAAAAAATTCCTCTGGCTATGAGTCACCATCAATTACCCACAACAAGTTATCTACACAATATACAGCTATCTCCAAATCCGCTTTGTCCAATCTGCCAGTCCCATGATAAAACCATCGCTCATATTTTCTTCCAATGTCCCCAAGCACAAATGGTTTGGCATCAATTAGACATCAATCCACACAATGGGAATCTAGACAGGTTTCACGAGAATCCCTCACTTAAGCTATCTAATTTCATTTTAAACAACAAAGTTACTGCTAACCAGGTCCACTCCCACACCCTAATTCCATATGCTCTATGGCACTTCTGGAAAAGTAGGAATCACACTATTTTTGAAGGCTTACCCACTCTCCTAACCTCCCACACATTATAGGTCAAGCATCTGAATATTTCTATCTATGATTAAACAACCACATGTGTCGCACACAACCTAAACACATACACGTTAAATGAAAGGGAAAAGGGTCAAAAATATTCCTCTACGATGCGAAAAGGATTATTTATGCCCTCCGTTATACTTTCGGTTTACAATTATCCCTGACGTTACAAAACTAGTTTAAAAGTACCCCTCCTCCGTTAGGGCCCTCCACCAAGGCCAAGACCATCTTGTGTGGCCTGACATCTTACTGAGGTGGACTCCATGTGGCATGCCACCTCACCGCCCAAACCCCATTTTACCCCCTTCCCTCACTTATTCTTCCACAACCACCTTCCCCTTCACCCAATCAATACAAATCTATTGTTGCAGAGCATATTGCAAAGAAATTGATGGAACAACAACCTGATTATCATTTGAGTTATGCTATTCTAACAAATGTGTACAATGAGTTACGATATTCTAACAAATGTGTACAAAGTAGTGGGTCGGTGGGCTGATGCTCTTGAGATTCGACAGCAGATGTGGAAAAAAGAGTGAATTAGGTCACCGAAAAGAGCTGAATTTAAATGAATACTAATAGCTTATAGCCTTTTCAGCATAGAACTCTATCGGGATGCCCCTTACAAAGAGACATTCCTGAAAGTGCTTGAGATGATTATGCAGGTCGTAGCACATTTATCAATTTTGTTCTTGTAAGGGTGATCCATGTTTTTAGACACAATATGTTTACTTCTTTTATATGTATTTTTGGACTGGGTAAGCAAATAACATGAAAATCAGTTCTTAGAGACTTAAGAGTATCTAGCATAATGAACGCGTACAGGTGACCCAGCAAATCTTGGTCTCCCTCTTTTAGGAAAGGACAGTTATTAGTGACACAAACCTCTAAACAATATGGCACCAAAATCAGGAGTTTGCTTTACCATCTTTATGGTAGTGTGTTGGTTGGGTGGAGGGGAAGGTTGGTGGTGGAAGAAGAAGTGAGGGAAGAGGGTAAAATGGGGTTGGGGCGGTGAGGTGGCGTGCCACATGGCATCCACCTCAATAATATGTCAGGCCACATAGTATGATCTTGGCCATGGTGGAGGGCCCTAATGAAGGAGGGTTACTTTTGAACTAGTTTTGTAACAATAGGGATAATTGTGTACTGAAAGTATAACGGAGGACATAAATAATCCTTTTCGCATTGTAGAGAGGTATTTTTCACCCTTTTCCCTAAATGGAACCCTCCTAATAATGGATATTTTAAACTAAACTCTGACGGAGCTTGTCGTATCCCTCACAAAAAGGGGGTCTTAAGGGGTGTAATTAAAGACTCCACAGGCAAATGGATATTGGGATATATAGGTACAATGACATGGAAAACCACATTTATATGGAACTCACTACCCTACTGGAAGGTTTATGACTTGCTCTACATCACCATCTCACTCCACTACAAGCCAATCTTGATTCAACAGAGGTAATTTTTTTAATCCACTCCCTTAATCCGCACTACTCATCCTTGATTCATGAATGCATGTACCTGCTACACCAACTGGGTAGACCTTGGGTGATACACACATACAGGTCAAGTAGCGGATAAACTAGCTAAATATGGGGAAACCCTAGCTTGTAATGCCCCAACTACTAAACTTGGGCAACCACCTTTTTTTTGTACTACAAAGCAGAACAATAGGGAAAACTCCACAAGCCCACCACATCTACCATAGTGCAGTTGGAACCTCCTTTTTTTTGCTTAGACATGTTGGCAACCACTTGTAATAGTAACCATGTACTTTTTTGTACTGCAGCGCAAATTGGTATCAATGATCAACCCTATTTTTGTAATATTGAACCAACATCGCACTTTGCTCCTTGTAATATTACGTAATCTATAATATATGCTTCTTTGGTTGACCAAAAAAAGAAAAAAAGAAACTCCTTTGATATTCTTATTTGTGATTAGAGTTCCTAATTTGCCACTCTCCATGACTCGTAGTAGAACATCGATCAAATCTCACCTCTAGACTCACCATTGCCCTTCTTACCAATTGTTCGATTTTTCCGATGCTCATTAATGATATTCTCCAAAATTACATCTATCTTGGTGTGAAGCTTCAACATTCTGGACTTCAATCCACTGATCTCGTGAAGCCATTTTCGGGAAGGGAACAAATTAGCCAAGTCAAATCCACCAGCTAATAGTGTTACGTCTTTCACCAACATTATCAACTTATCTTGATCATGAATCACTTTCCCGAAAGCTGACCTACAAGTTACAAAACTTGTAAACCAAAACATTTTGTCTGATAAGTTGATCAATGAGTCATCATGAGTCAAATTAATCGATGAAATGAGACTTGATATCTGTTCTTGTCGAATTGAATTAAATTAATTGACCATCTTTGCGATGAAAAGTTCCATGACGCACACTTTGCGCATATTTCTCCAGTATTCACCATATGGACAAGTTTCAATGTCTGTGTAATTGTAGAAAATAATATCTCCAGACATAAATTCGGGCCTAGTAGCAAAGCGTAGGTCTTGAGTTTTCATAACCTCTTTTGTCATCTCAGGTAAAGATACAACAATGATCAATATTTCTCCAAGACGTAAGTGAAAGATCGGTCCATATCTTTGCGATAGACTTTTGAGAGTTTGATGTATTGGAAGATGGCCATTCATTAGTTGGTGCAATTTCCCAACCAAAGGTAGACTCCATCGCCCTGGGGACAATCTTTTGTGAAAGGTTCTTGATTTCTTCCGTATCTGAACTAATCAAAAAATGAACGAAAGGAATATCAAGAGTGAAATGAAAATGAAATGTAAGTGTTGTGTTTCCATATATTTGAGTAGGGGTATACATGGACCGAGTTGGTTCGTTTTTTATCAAAATCGAACCAAACAAACATATCGGTTTGGATTGATTCGATTTTGTCGAGTTTTTCAGGTTCTCCTAGTTTTTTTGTTATATCAATATTATTATTTTGTTAAATTTTTTATAAATATATGTTTAGTAGAAATTAAAAAACTGACAAACATATAATCTATTAAAATATTCTTCTGGGAGAATTTTCTTAGTAACACATGATAGTTATTTTTTTAATCGTCTGACTATAATTTTTCATTAATATTTTTAAGGTTAACCGAATTTAATGATTAAATATAAAAAAAATATGATACCTAAATAATGATACGTTCTATTTAATTTTAAATTATCGAAATACCACTTCAAATTTGAAAAAGATATAAGAATTTAATAGATCATGGCATATGAATATGGAAGAACACTAATATAGTACAATATTGATGACAACTTTACAATGAAGACATATAATTATATAGTAGTAGGAAAACTTAAGTAATTAAATAATTAAAAAAATTAAATAATAACAAATCAGTTTCGTAGCACAGGTATCAGATGACGTGTGAAGATTTCCCCACAGTCAAATTGATGTGAAATCCACTGTTTGTTTGTGGTGAATTTTATAATTCTTCAAAAGTATTGGGGATACTCATAATAAATTGGAGAGATAACGATATTCATTGATGCATTTCAGCAACACTTGATAAGAAAGTGATCATACGACCATTATTTAAAGTTAATAAAAATAGGAGCACTTCATATTTAACTAAATATTATATCCCATAAGAGCAAATATTTTTAGATATTTTTTTAAAGAAAATTCTATAAAATGTCT